TCACTTGTACAAACTCCCACACTCCTTCGGGAGTCACTGCCGGGTCACCACATGGAGAAGATCTGGGTCGGGACCCGTCCTGGCAACCTTACATGAACTCTTTGTGTTGTAACTTTTGTAAAGGGTCCAAACCGGACCGAAACGTCGTAGTCAGCTCTTCTCTATGTGAAGATACCCAATGGTGTAGCCCAGTGGTGAGAGGCGCGACTCTCACCACTGGTGTCCGGGGTTAAAGACCCGGACGAACTACTTCTCTATGTGAGAATTATTTGTGTATATTTGATGAAGCTCATCACTGAATGAAACTTTTGTTGGAATAATAAAAGTTTCCTGGTAACAAATGCATTTTTTTTATCCTAGATAACAAACTGAGTATAGTGGTAAAAAATGGGAGGTGATCCCGATAAATTGTTGGAAAGATATAAACACTAGGACTTTAGTTTTGGAAATATTTCGGTCCTGGAATCTTTCCAGTATGTCCTAACTGCTTGCATTTTGTCTCTCTCTTTGCTACTACTTTCGATAGTGTAATCGCAGCAGCGGCAGCGGCAGCGGCAACAGGAACCTTGTCCTTTATTTTTACTTCTACCTGAGGTTCCCAGCAGCCCAGTGATGACTTAATCAAGACCCGCATAACACTAACATGTGTGGATACCCAGAATGATATAAATCAACTGCAGAAATCACCCATAAGTACACAAATTACCAACTAATAGGACTCATTACCAACTCCTACCCCGCTGCCACTGAAGTGATACTCCACAACATTCACCCATCACCTACTATTCACCTGAAGCCACAGCCAATGGACAAGGGTCAGAGTTTTAAAAGAAGATCCAGTAACCAGCTAAGGACTCCTAACATCAAAGGTGAAACCAGTAATAACACGAGGAAAACTTGTGGTACTGCCATCCAGGACACAACCCTCATCACTCACCGGCATCACCACAACACACGACAGACAACAACAAATATGGCCGCCGCCACAGTCCAAGATAACTCCTTCCCAGGATTTGATGTCAAGAAAATCACAGACCCAGAAATAGCTAAACTCCTTACGATTCAGGACCAAACGATCACCAAACTAACTCAAGAAATGCAGGAACTAAAAGCTAGCAATGCAGATTACCTCAACAAGATCACTGCTCTAGAACATAAACTAGACACTCTGGAACAACAAAGCAACACCCACACCCAGTCCCTAGCCACCATCAACACTAAAAGACCAAGTCACCCTCCTTACTACCAACATTATAGAGGAAAGATCAAGAGTGGACCAACAACTCGCCAATGTCATAACCAACTTCCAAGACCATAATGACCAACAGCAGCTATCTGACGCTGTTGTAGTTAACAGCAAACATCTCCCAGCCACAGTCACCCAAGAAACCTGCATGGAGACCACCCTACAGCTTATCAAGGACCACCTTCGCCTTAACATACGTAGTGATGACCTAAAGGATTGCAAACTGATGGGCTACCAAGCGGGTAAAAAAACAGTGCTGTTAAAATTCCAAACTAGCCTACAAAGAAACAACCTACTAAAAACATCTATTTCTATGAAAAATGATGTTTACGTCAGTGAGTGCCTTACCAAAACAAGACTAAACCTCCTTTATCGGCTAAGAAAATTACACTATGCCCAAAAAATCCACCAGTGCTTTGTGAGGGACAGAAAAATCGCAGTTAAAAAACAGCCCACTGGGAAGAGATACTTCATCTCTACAGAACATGACCTTAAAACATTCCTAAGTGAGTGTTGTTAGGTAAGACACATATGCAACAGTTAGGTATCTTTATTTCGAAACGTTTCGCCTACACAGTAGGCTTCTTCAGTCGAGTACAGAAAAATTGATAGAAGCAGAAGATACTTGAAGACGATGTAATCAGTTCCGATGTAATCATTGTTCCATAGTATGAAACAATATTGTTTCATACTATGGAACAATGCTCTTCTCCAGACTGAGGGACTGACCACCTCAAAACTTTAAGGGTGATGGACTGATTACATCGTCTTCAAGTATCTTCTGCTTCTATCAATTTTTCTGTACTCGACTGAAGAAGCCTACTGTGTAGGCGAAACGTTTCGAAATAAAGATACCTAACTGTTGCATATGTGTCTTACCTAACAACACTCACTAACAACCTGTCGGTATTTTATACCATTTTAATGTTCACTTAGGAATGTTTTAAGGTCATGTTCTGTAGAGATGAAGTATCTCTTCCCAGTGGGCTGTTTTCTAACTGCGATTTTTCTGTCCCTCACAAAGCACTGGTGGATTTTTTGGGCATAGTGTAATTTTCTTAGCCGATAAAGGAGGTTTTGTCTTGTTTTGGTAAGGCACTCACTGACGTAAACATCATTTTTCATAGAAATAGATGTTTTTAGTAGGTTGTTTCTTTGTAGGCTAGTTTGGAATTTTAACAGCACTGTTTTTTTACCCGTTTGGTAGCATCATCATCGGGTTTTTCCTAAGAGCATACCGAATTTGTAGTCCTGAGTTTCTTGACGAGGAATGTACATACATTCACCAAACATTCACTGAGTTACATTTTCCTTCTTTTTTCATTAAAGACTGCAAGAAAAGAGCTCTTCAGATCATTAATTCTCCACGCATCAACACCACTCCCAACAAAGTTATAATTCTTCCCAACAGCCAGGTTGCACTGAACGTCTCAAAAGTGCTTTAACAAGCTAACACCAGAGTCGCCATCGCTTCTAGCACTTCAATAAAGAATCTAACCAGGACAAAATCCAAGCACCATGAACCAGTCAATGCAGGAGTTTACACTATACCCTGTGGAGGCTGTGACAAGATTTACGTAGGTGAAACAGCAAGAAACCTCGACACCCGCCTCAATGAACACATTTACGCATGTAGGAACGATAACTTGAACAACGCCTGTGTACAACACCGAAATTCCACCAATCATCTCATGAAATTCAGAGACGCCCAATTAGTGATCAAAGAAACTAATTTCCGCAGACGCAAGTGCCTCGAATCAGCACTGATCGCTGTTTCGAATACAATTAAACAAAACGGCAGCTTCACCATCTCCGAAGTCTTAGCAAGAATCCTCCTGAAAACAGTAAACCCTGCCATCACATAGTCTCTCCTGTTATACTACACAAAGCACATTACAGAGAGTGAACACTGAAACAAGCTGCATCTTTCCAGTCTATATTTGTCCAACCTATTTTTATGTTACCCAAGTAATAGCTTTTGTATCCTTTTACTCATGTACGAATTAATTGCTCTATCATATTGTATTACTTTTGTCACTACCACTACTACTACCACTACTACTACTACTACTACCACTAGTGAACATCGAAATGTTACCTCACTAGTATTGCACCTCACTCTGAGCCTTTATATACCCTCTGTGTCCATGTATTGTTTGTAATTGTAATGGCTTGATAAAGCTCCTGGAGAGCGAAACGTTGCCACAATAAATGTCACATTAGTTGCACTTGTGTCCTTTTACTTTACATACTCATTTTTATCCTATACTTTTTAAACTAGCATTTTCAACTACAACTTTTATATTATCCTGTCTACCATCTTATTAGCATATTATAACCAAGTCATTGCCATTTTTATTTTTATCATTTTTTTGTAGATGAATGGTTCAGAGAACCGACATGTTGATAAATTAGACACATGTGCAACTCTTGGGTATCTTTGAGGAAACGTTTCCCCACACAGTGGCTTCATCAGTCCGTACAAAGGAGAATCTTGAAGAACATGAGGAGAATGAGGTAATCAGTCCCTCAACCTTGAGTCGATGTGGTCAGTCCATCAATCTTGTATAGAATACGGCATACGTGCGGAGAAGGAGCTTATAAACCGTTGGTAGGAGAGGTGCAGCAGTCATAGGCGGTGTCACATTTGTTCAATGTGGAAGTAGGTCGTGCCCAAGAATTAGGCAAGCGAAGAATTCCCAAGTATTAAGATCCCAAGAAGTTGCAGTGTCTGAACCATTCATCTACAAACCTGTCAGACACTGCAACGTCTTGGGATCTTAATACTTGGGAATTCTTCGCTTGCCTAATTCTTGGGCACGACCTACTTCCACATTGAACAAATGTTACACTACCTATGACTGCTGCACCTCTCCTACCAACGGTTTATAAGCTCCTTCTCTGCACATATGCCGTATTCTATACAAGATTGATGGACTGACCACATCGACTCAAGGTTGAGGGACTGATTACCTCATTCTCCTCCTGTTCTTCAAGATTCTCCTTTGTATGGACTGATGAAGCCACTGTGTGGCGAAACGTTTCCTCAATAAAGATACCCAAGAGTTGCACATGTGTCTAATTTATCATTTTTTTTTATTCTTTTGCTACCTTAACTTGTGTATTTTATCTTGTCAATTTAAATCTAGTTATACTCTAATTCTTGTAAACAACTTACATAACACTTTAGTGCAATTGCAATTGAGTGTCTTGTGCCTGGTGGTTCACACTTACACTCACTCATCCATTTGACAATAAACAGAAATATTAATCTCAATCTTAAAATAATGAATCCTAACTAGTCATAAGTTGGCCTGTGAGACTCCAATACTGAAACTATGTACTATGCCAAAACAAAAGCATTCACATTGCTAAACTCACAAACTAGTATTTAGTCACTTAGCCATAATACCAACTTACCTCATAATTTGTAATATTTTAAATTTAAGAATTAAACTAAGTCTGCCCGAAATGCCTAGCCATGCTAGGTGTTCTAGTGGTACACTCTGTAATTATTATTTTACTACATGTAAACCACACAATAACCAAATTCTGTAAACTCAGCATTGTAATCCTTATAGAGAATAAACTTTGAATTGAATTGAATTGAATTGAATTGAATTGACAGCTTCAGTAGTCTGGTCGTAGACCTAAATGGCTTCCGCCTTCCATATGTTCTTGTTTATATTGACAGCATTTGAATACAGAATTTGCTTTATACTTTAATCTGGTCGTCAGACCTAATATCACTTACCGTCGATGGTCTGGTCGTAGCCTTTAGTGAAGTACAGCATGGCCTTGGCAGCCCTGACAGGGGTCTTGAGAAGGCCCTCCCTCTCAGGGTTCTCGCCCAGACCCTTGAGGAGAGAGCGGTAGCTATTAGCCAGCTCTGGGATGATGTCCTCACGGGTGGGTGGCTTGTGGTCCAGCTCAAGGTCGAAATGGAAGGGACACTTCTCGTGACCTGTGTGAGAAACATTAACTGTTAACACATGAGACAGGAACAGGCCCGGTGGCCTGGTGGCTAAAGCTCCCGCTTCACACACGGAGGGCCCGGGTTCGATTCCCGGCGGGTGGAAACATTTCGACACGTTTCCTTACACCTGTTGTCCTGTTCACCTGGCAGCAAATAGATACCTGGGTGTTAGTCGACTGGTGTGGGTCGCATCCTGGGGGACAAGATTAACGATCCCAATGGAAATAAGTTAGACATCCCTCGATGACGCACTGACTTTCTTGGGTTATCCTGGGTGGCTAACCCTCCGGGGTTAAAGATCCAAACGAAATCTTATCTATCTTGCTAAACATTAGTAAGAAGGCAAGTGACTACTGGGCACAACTTGAGGACAATGGACACGAATGTATTCACTTTTTGCAAATGTTTTAGGCCAAGAAGGGAATTATTATTATTATTATAATCAAGGGGGAAGCACTAAACCCGTAGGATTATACAGCGCCTATGGGGGGATGGAAGGCATTCAGGCTTAATTCAGGGAACTGGAGCACAGATCCAATTCCCTAGATCAAGAGCCCCTCACCAGCGTCAAGGAGCCTTCCTTGAGGGGTCCAAGAAGGGGAACTTTTTCAATGAAGGTGCTCTAAGTAAATGCATGGGTGAATATTTAACCTCGTAGCATAATAAATTCATTAAAATACATCTCAACACTATGTAAAAGTCCTCTCATCGTTCTGTCTCCTCATCGTTCTGTCTCCTCATCGTTCTGTCTCCTCATCGTTCTGTCTCCTCATCGTTCTGTCTCTCATCGTTCTGTCCTCCTCATCGTTCTGTCTCCTCATCGTTCTGTCTCCTCATCGTTCTGTCTCCTCATCGTTCTGTCTCCTCATCGTTCTGTCTCCTCATCGTTCTGTCTCCTCATCGTTCTGTCTCCTCATCGTTCTGTCTCCCTCAGCAGCAAGCTCTGCCCCAGTCCATGAAATTTTTCTTTGGACTGGCAAAGAATTTCAATTAACTGGTTGCATCTGAAATTCTGCTTCATGTTGATAATTATAATTTTCATTTGTAAGTTTTGCCAAGGACCCAGAGAAGAAAGTAGTGTCAGAACTTTAGGAGAGTCACCCAGGAAGCAAGAGGAGAGAGATGCAAGATGCTGTATGATAACATCAGCAGGAGGAAGGAGAGTGGACTTCAGCTTCTGAAACAAGTACCAACAGGTGCACAGACCACCAGGCTACACCTGTATTCGTAATAACTAGGTATGGTAAAAAATTACAAAATAAAGAGTCGCAATAAGGGCAAAACGTCCACCAATGTTATGACTACCACTCCATCTTCTCTACCTTCCTCGCCCGCAGGTTTAAGAAGCACCCAAATAAATAAATCTTGGAAAGGCCGCATGACAGACAATCAGCACTCGAGAACTGGTTGTGTGTACACAGCGTATCATAACAGCCAGGTTGTTACTGGTGGCGTGCCTCAGGGCTCACCCCTGGCATCGATTTTCTTCTTCATATACGTCAATAAGATCTGTAATAGTGCTGACAAACGAGGGGAAAGGAGTAAGAAGGAAATTCTTACATTTATGAGAGAGTGAGAGTGTTATAGTGACCATTGTTGTAATGACTTGAGCAGTCACCTTGCAACAGAATGGCACTGACTTCCTGGAAAATAACACAGAATCACTCTCAAGAGTTACCATGGTCACTCAGTTACCATGGTTACTCAGTTACCATGGTTACTCAGTTACCACGGTCACTCAGTTACCATGGTTACTCAGTTACAACGGTCACTCAGTTACCATGGTTACTCAGTTACCACGGTCACTCAGTTACCATGGTTACTCAGTTACCACGGTCACTCAGTTACCATGGTTACTCAGTTACCACGGTCACTCACTTACCATGGTTACTCAGTTACCATGGTTACTCAGTTACCACGGTCACTCAGTTACCATGGTTACTCAGTTACCACGGTCACTCACTTACCATGGTTACTCAGTTACCATGGTTACTCAGTTACCACGGTCACTCAGTTACCATGGTTACTCAGTTACCATGGTTACTCAGTTACCATGGTCGCTCAGTTACCATGGTCGCTCAGTTACCATGGTTACTCAGTCACCACGGTCACTCAGTTACCAAAGTCACTCGGAAGAGTTACCATGGTCACTCAGTTACCACGGTCACTCGGAAGAGTTACTATGGTTACTCAGTTACCATGGTCACTCATTAACCACGGTCACTCGGAAGAGTTACCATGGTCACTCAGAAGAGCTACCATGGTCACTTAGTTACCACGGTCACTCAGAAGAGTTACCATGGTCACTCAGAAGAGTTGCCATGGCCATTCAGTTACCACGGTCACTCAGAAGAGTTACCACGGTCACTCAGAAGAGTTACCATGGTTACTCAGCTACCATGGTCACTCAGTTACCACGGTCACTCAGTTACCACGGTCACTCAGTTATAACGTCACTCGGAAGAGTTACCATGGTCACTCAGTTACAACGTCACTCAGAAGAGTTACCATGGTCACTCAGTTACCATGGTCACTCAGAAGAGTTACCATGGTCACTCAGTTACCATGGTCACTCAGAAGAGTTACCATGGTTACTCAGTTACCACGGTCACTCAGAAGAGTTACCATGGTCACTAAGAAGAGTTACCATGGTCACTCAGTTACCACGGTCACTCAGAAGAGTTACCATGGTCACTCAGTTACCACGGCCACTCAGAAGAGTTACCATGGTCAGGCAGAAGAGTTACCACGGTCACTCAGAAGAGTTACCATGGTCACTCAGTTACCATGGTCACTCAGTTACCATGGTCACTCAGTTACCACGGTCACTCAGAATTTACCATGGTCTCTCAGTTACCACAGTCACTCAGAAGAGTTACCATGGTTACTCAGTTACCACTGTCACTCAGAAGAGTTACCATGGTTACTCAGCTACCATGGTCACTCAGTTATCACGGTCACTCAGAACGTCACTCGGAAGAGTTACCATGGTCACTCAGTTACAACGTCACTCGGAAGAGTTACCATGGTCACTCAGTTACAACGTCACTCGGAAGAGCTACCATGGTCACTCAGTTACCATGGTCACTCAGAAGAGTTAGTCACTCAGTTACCACGGTCACTCGGAAGAGTTACCATGGTCACTCAGTTTTCACGGTCACTCGGAAGAGTTACCATGGTCACTCAGTTTTCACGGTCACTAGGAAGTTACCATGGTTACTCAGCTACCATGGTCACTCAGTTACCATGGTTACTCAGCTACCATGGCCACTCAGTTACCACGGTCACTCGGAAGAGTTACCATGGTTACTCAGCTACCATGGTCACTCGGAAGAGTTACCATGGTTACTCAGTTACCACGGTCACTCGGAAGAGTTACCATGGTCATTCAGTTACCACGGTCACTGAGAAGAGTTACCATGGTTACTCAGCTACCATGGTCACTCAGTTACCACGGTCACTCAGAATAGTTATCATGGTTACTCAGCTACCATGGTCACTCAGGTACCACTGTCACTCAGAATAGTTACCATGGTTACTCAGCTACCATGGTCACTCAGGAGGGTTATCATGGTGTTCTATTCCAACAGCTTCCAACATGATATAATGTGTAGAAGACGTCAGACAGACGACTACGTAGTCTTATAGCCCTCGTAGCCACTCTAAGAGAGCTATTAAGACTACCAACAACTAAGAATGCTTTCAAAACAAAACAAGATTATCATCCCAAAACAAGAAACAAGAAACAATCACCCAACACAAACGCCATCAAAAATAACAAGAATCAATTAAACGGTGACCTTATAAACCCCAAAAGACTCGCTTCAAGTTCTCCGAGGTTCCTACAGGCACCTCGGTAACTATCAAAACCATGGCGAAGGCGAATAAACCAAAGCCGATTACAAACTGCTAAAATGTGTTCCTGAGTCAGGGTACGTCACAAGGTGCACACCGGAGGGTGAAGGTGGAGCGGCAGGAGCACCAGCAGACAGGTACCTGTGAGCGAGATGTGCGTTATCTTGAGCCCCAGTCGACAGATTCCTCTCAAAAGTGGCGGAAGGAAGAGCTTGCCAGGACTGTAAGCAACTGGACGAACATAGTACACGATGGAGGAAGCCTGAGTGCAATCCCAGAGTACAAAATAGAAATACTGTGCACTCTGGGATTGCACTCAGACTTCTGCCAGTGTGTGCTATATTTGTACAGTTGCTTGCAGTCCTGGCAGGCTCCTCCTGCAAGGACTAAATATTTATATCAATGCTCCTTCAAGGTTTCCCTGTCTCCTCATATGTTCATTTCCCCCCTATAATCTTCCTTGTTCATAATTATTACCGCATTTGCTTTGTCTGCTTTCGTAGGTGAAGTCCAGGATCTTTCCTTAATTCATGGTAAAGCTTAACAAATCTTCGTTGTAGAGGTCTGACCTTTGCTCACAACTCTACAACAGAATTGTCATCTAAGATTTGTTAAGTTATACCATGAATTAAAGGGAAGATCCTGGACTTCACTTTACGAAAGCAGACAAAGCAAGTGCAACAGTAATTATGAACAAGGAAGATTATAGGGGGAAATACCATACTAGAAAACAGGGAAACTGACGTACCCCTTAACAGTGATTGCTAGTATAGAGGTGAAGGAGCTTTATGGATAGTACAGTGGATAGTCTTAAAAAGTTGATAGTAGCAGGCAGATGGCAGCAGCTAGAAGGCCGCAGGCAGCAGCTACACTGCAAGTCATACATTAACAAGTTGCCAGCAGCCACACTGTATGCTGGACTGGCAGGTTGATACCCACACTGTATGCTGGACGGGCAGGTTGATACCCACACTGTATGCTGGACGGGCAGGTTGATACCCACACTGTATGCTTGACGGGCAGGTTGATACCCACACTGTATGCTTAACGGGCAGGTTGATACCCACACTGTATGCTTGACGGGCAGGTTGATACCCACACTGTATGCTTGACGGGCAGGTTGATACCCACAC